CTTTTTGTTGGCGCAAATTACTATCGGGGGACACGGTTTATTCCACCTGTCTGGCGACAGCGATCTACATAAAGCTTGCTTATTCATAGCTCAAAGAAACAACAAAGTGCATGAAAGAAAGTTCGGATGGAACCAAAGTGTTATTTACTTTCCTTTCAATTAATCTGCATATATTATTTCGCTACAACTTTGTATCGCGCTAGTTCTTGTATCAACACAGTGTACATTTTCAGTGTATATGCGTGTATAGACTACAGCGGAATTAGCATCTTTAGTTTTATTATCGTTACGATTATCGCTACTATAATTGATTATAAATCTCTGTGATCTATGCTCTTATCGCTGTTAAATCTAAAATGTTGTGTCAATAAATCATTTGCCATAAAATCTTGACAACAATAGAATCGCTGGATGAAACTACTTGGATGCCAGGAACATTATTAGTCTGGAAGAAAAAGAAAATTTATTTAGACTCTGTGTATGCGCACCTCTTTCGAATGTTCGCCGGTTAAATATAAAATGAAACTTTACCTGAAACTAATAGCTCTGGCAGCAAGGAGTCTATTGCACTCTGCCGTGTCAGGTAAAGGTAAAGGTAGGTAGGGGCTTTCGTTCTCTTGGTCGGTGAATTCGAATCTGTGAATTCTTGGTTGTACTTTCATGTCTCCGAAGGGTCCTTTTAATATCAAATAGTGAAGCGGTAACGGATACGTCGTTTTCGTTTTCAAAATCAGCTATAACAGTAATTACTTTCATCACTGTCCTAGCTACACACAAGAACACCCGAGCTCCTAAAGAAACGCCGATGGTCTTTACGTACTTGATAAGTCATGTCCCTTTCAGAGCTCTGAGTGGGATCACGCTGACTATTGTTGATCCTCGCTTTTACAACCCATTGATTATTAAATGCCGAAAACCGAGATGTTTCATAAAAGAGTTTGTGGACAAACTCGTCTGTGCGGTACGGCTTCATTTGTAAATCTATAAAGGATGAAATTCTACAAATAGATTACACCCTACACCTCTGTAGCAGAATGAGGATGAAAAGCATGTGAGAAAATGACGGGTAATTATATAGAATAGTAATTAATGGGAGAGGTTTTCGAAAGAGACTTCGAAAAGAGTTGCAACTCTGGGACTAATTGAAATGGACAATATACCCTATTCTATATAGCTACCGCATTATAATCTATGAACGTCTAAAGAATTAATGCTAATGTAATTTCTCGATGAAAGGGGACAGTTCCTGCTGCTGCTAGGTAAGGCAGAGAAGAACAGTGTAACAAACATTTTCTCTATGTTAAAGATAATACACGATCATTTTAGTCAAATGAGATATTCGAAGGCCTTAATACACGAGAAACTGATACAGACCGTTAAACGTGATTTTCTCGTAGGACAAAAGATCAAAGACATTGTCATACAGCCTACGTTCTTCGAGTGTACGGGCATCGATATCACGTAGAGCTTCCATAACGTCTAGCCCTGTACGACGAGGATGAACACATTCTGCTTCGTGTTTTGGACGTTCATGATTGGGCCCACGCCAAGGACAGCCGATTCTACTGTACTTGCAATTGGATATTCTATGCATACAAAAGAAATAATATCAATCATATTATTCATTAACATTTGCAATCTTTGATTACCTTTCTTCGCACACTGTCTCCTCATGACGTTCCAAGGAGTTTCGTGGAAACTCCTTAGCACAGTACTGACATTCTGCTGGTAACTCAGACACAGCTTTCTCAACTGCCAGATTTCGAGATGGAGATGTTCTGCTGATCTCGATTCTGCAGTTGGGACATGTTGCCATTTCATCTCTCAGCCTGGCATCTGCGAGGACATGAGTGAAGCAACCGGCACACATCAAGTGTCCATTTGTACACTGTGAACATTGTTGCATGTATTACTAGCGTTCTTGCTTTCAAGTCTCTTAAAAAAGATAAGCCTAGCTTTTGTTGAACATCTTTAATAATCCAACGTAAATTTGTTACAAAGTATACACAACTGTGTGCAAAACTGAAATTCGTTCTTAACATTTTTAAAAATCATGATAGAATTCTTTATTTTGCACAAGTTACGATACTGTACTTAGTTCTTATTAAATATGTTTATTAGACCCTTTCAACAATATTAACCAAACTAGAATAACAAAACTAATGCCATGTATATTACCATGATTTTGATGTTTTTAAACCTGAAACACAAAATCGTAGTAGTACTATTAATAAGTCGAGTAATCATTGGTGAAAACCAGTAGGTTTAAATTAATGGTGAATGCCATCAGTAATGCTGCCAATATCAATAATAGAAAGGAAGAGAAAAGGACAATGATGCATGGGATAAGTGAAAAAGGGTTTCATATGCGAAATAACTAACTAATAACCTTTCAGAATATTTATTTTGTTTAATTCCTTGTCAACTGTACATGTTATACAGATCTTCTAGAAAATACGCTTTCTCTCTCTCACTCTCACTCTCTCGCTGTTAATTATAAGCCATGAACATCAATTTCGCATGGGTCTACAATAACTTTTTTCTAGTAACTAGATTTTTGATATTTCCTTCAATTAAATTGTTTCTTACAATAAACACAACATTTTATATTGGGAAAATATCATTATCGTATTAAGTGCTAATAACTATGAAGGTCTGGTTGCTTAAATGTCTCTTTACCTCCCTAACTGACTTTATTGGAATACCAACAAGAATGAAGTTGAAGTTTGAAATACCGGGGCACACTTATAAAGATCAAAATGTTCTGTGTACCATCTACGGGTTCACAGATGCATAAGTGCATTCCGTGAACTAGAATAAATAAAAATTGGTAAGTATGCACCAGACAGCACACTGTATAACTTACATGTAAGAGTCTCTATCGTGATAGGGTAAACGCAACATTCCTCCCAGTGTTTTACAGTTTATGGAGACACTGAATATAGAATGCATTACATATATGTATATACATATATTTCAATTAATAAAATTGAAGAGGAGAACAATTAAGAACAAAATATAATAGTATAGATAAATTGGAATGCTATAAATTTAATGATAAAGGAGTTTCTGTAAATAAATATTACTAAAAAAAGAGATCATTGCCTGGGCATGCGTACATACAATAATTCTCTTTAGTTTATTTGTCTGTTCGATTTGTTATATATTTTAAAGATTCGCATACAGATACACTGTAACGAGAATTACTTTACATGCATGCATAAACAGATTGTATTGTAAATTAGATCCATTTCTATTTACAATACAAACGTAATTAAGAAATTGAGGATTATGCATTAAAATTCTACTTTGAAGATTTATCTTGTAAAGCATACTATATGGGATAATGTATTTCCTTTAATAAATCAGCAATTCCGAATCTCTTAAACGTATTTAACAACAGAAGATGTTCATTAAAGTTAGTATTCGTATTAAAATTAAATACTGCTTTTTAAATATGTTCACTGAAAAAAAAAATGTAGGTACCTACCTGCATCTTTATTATCTTAATAAAATGATACCGACAATAAATATGTACATACATTTTTCTTCTTCTTTAAATCTCTCTAAAGAATATTTATACGATTACAACTAAAACTTATCTCCTTGTAACACTAGAAAAATAAAAAGGCAAACTATTTAAAAATCATGTTGTAATCGTCAAGAGAAAAGGAAGATAAGAAAAATGGGCAGAGTGAGAGAGAAAGAATTCAACATAGAAACATAGTTTTAATAGCCACTGTTAATCAATCAAAAATCCAACTTAATTGTAACATGATTTAAACTAGCGATATATAGCACAAATAAACAAACTATATTTCATAATAATATATATATATATATAGTAAAAAAGATCATAATATATGTTCTCATTTCTTGCCAAATATCATCAGGCTCTTTTATTTCTATAATTAACCAATATAAAAGTTAAATGACATTAGAATGCATTTAAACCCATCAACTGATACTCTTAATTGGGGGTACCCTGCTTCTTTTCATACG